CCTAAAGCCTAAAACCTGAACCCTAGTCGTGGCCCAAGCCCTACAAAAATGATAGCTGTAGGGCCCTCATCTTAGGGGTTGGGCGTACCAAAGTTCCATTGTTACGTAGCAAAACAGGGCCAACATTATACATGTGTTTAAACGATACCTGCGCAGACCTAGACCTTAAGCCTCCGCTGAAATCTGAACCCACTCCGCAAACCCTAAACCCCTAAACCCCAATCCTTCAACCCTAAACTTTAAACCCTAAACCCCCTAAACACTCCAAGCTAGCTAGCAGAGCATGCCTAGAAAGGCGGCAGCAAGGATGGGCGCGGTAGGGGCCTTCTGCCGGCGCGTGAGGTAGGCGCCTGAAGCTTTTGCTGAACCCAGGGTTTAGGTGGTTTAGATTTTCCCCTCATGATCCCCTCTTTGTCTAGAATTTTGGGCTGTGCACTCAAAGACTAACAGTAAACGTGTAAAACGCAAAAGCAAATGCCAAAGACACCGTCTTCATAGATACCCCACCCCCCACCCACCCCGAAAAATTACGTGCCTGAGGGAGCTTACGCTTCGAATGGAGCAGCCTTTGCACCGCCCCATGTAACTTCACTGTGAGATTTTCCATGTTATGGGGCTCCGAAGTTATGCAAGGTTTCCTACAGTAGCTCAATTTGAAGGAATTTTCAAAAACAAAGGCCTCAATACAGACCCAACTTAGTTTCTGGTACCGCCTACTATCACTTGTATTGTCCCTACGCCCAGGACTCCTAAAACAGGGCCCCCAGTTTTGGGAACCCCGAAACCCTACATACCCACAAATGCGTACCACAACCCTAAACCCTAAACCCTAAACCCTGTACCACTATATTACCCCTATGATCCCTTCAAAAGACATCGAGTTCTCGAAGCCCATACTGAACCAAAGTCACGGCGCGCAAATGGGCGAAGTCTCCCAAATCCACAGATGATAGCAGCCGCAGGGCCTGCGTCTAGACTTTTGGGCTTAAGGTATGGAGTCTACGGCTGGATAGAACAAATCTTGACAGCAGGGATCCTCGAAATAGTGTAATTCTTAGGATATACGGTTAAAGGTTTGTAGTGTATTATTGATGCAAGATTTGGAGGCCAGCAGTTGCCTAATCACAGGAGCTGAGGGTTCAGGGATTAAGGGTTAAGTTAGGTACCGACCCCACCCAGCAACAGTCAGGTAGCAACATATTTTACTCAGCTAATGATCTTGCCCCACAATACTAGCACTATTGCAAACTGGTACTGGGTGGGGTAGTGCCCAAGGCTTAGAGTTCAGCTTGTGCATCGCACTGCTGGTGCGGCAGTAGGGATCGCGGCTAAATGTGTGGAATCCCTGCACCCTGAACATTAGACACCCCGCTTACCTGTAATACCAAAAGCGCTCTGCAACATTGGGCCTGCTACTACCACTGCCACTGCCACTACCACTGCCACTGCCACTGCCACTGCCACCACCACTGCCACCACCACTGCCACCACAACCACCACCACCTCCGCCGCCGCCATCTCTACCACTACCACTACGCCTACAAATACCACTACCACCGCTGTTGCTGCTGCTACTGCTGTTGCTGCTGATTGCCGCTCTACGCACAATGACTGAATTGCCGTCAAGGTACTTCGTCTTAATTTACACTAAGCTACCAGTTCAAGAAACCCATAACATCTACCACGTATCCATATCATGGGATGAAGCATCCGGAGTATGATCCTAATGTCAAAAGCCCGAACCCTCTTGCTTGAAAAGAACTCTAAACCCTAAAGCCCTGAATCCTAAACCCAAAACCCTTCTCCCTAACAAGAACACCAAAACCTAAACCCCAAACTCTTTACCTTGGCAAGAACCCCGTGGCTTCTTCCTCATGTTCCGGCCTGTTGGCCTGTTTCTGCGTTCCTTTAGCCAAGACAAGGGTACACATTGTGTCATGTTGTAGTAGGCCCAGGTAACGCTACAGCGTTTAAGGTTGGGCCTAGGGATCCAAGCATACAAATAATACCTAAATTCGGCGCAAAGGTCTGTAAATCGTACCTACATTAGGCAATTTGGATCCCTAGGGTAACACTGAAAGTCTAAGTAAAAGCGCTCGACAAGAACAGTGTACCTAATCACCTCGTGTGAAGATTCACAGTGAGACTGGATTGGTTCTAGCCTTGGGATTCATCTGTTCCGACTACGGTTAAACACCTCCGTAAGGCCTGTTATCAGTTCACAGTATTCGCCTATTCTAACCTGAACACGTTGAGAAACACATTTGAGTGTTTCCAAAGCGCGGGTCACACATAGATACCCTCAACAGTAAAAGCATGATCCTCGTTGCGTTAGGCTTGGGTCTCTTAGTTAACGTAAGGGTCCCGTACAAACCTCAGGGAGGTAGATGCAGACTAGAATGGGGGCTATGGAGGTCTCCATCCGACCTATATGAGCCATAGTCTCAACTCCTACGTAGTATCCCCCTCAACAACACGTATAATACTCCCCTGCATACTAACCCCCCCTTACATAACCTCCTTTAAGGAGTTTCACCGGTTTAGTGTTTACGGTATTCTTTCTTTCTGGAAGGCCGCAGACTAATCTTTGATGCTGCTGGCGCAATTTCCCCAAACTCCTGTTTTGGTAAGTCAGTCTCACCCGCGCAAGTCAAACGAACTGCGGCTTTGGGACCACCACGAACTTTTGGAGGTGCTCCCATAATCCTCAGTTCCCAAAACCTCGAGGAGCAAAAAGTAAGATCTTCTTTGCAGTAGTCTGATAAGTAGATTCACACCCAACAAATCTAAAGGATCCCCATCGCGGACCTGGAAACCCGAATCAATAAAGCTGGTGTGAACGGCCAACAGGTTGCCACCAACATCTATTTCAGGCCGCAAGCATGTGAAGCGAAAGAACTCTGGATGGAGGCTGAGCAATACAGGCTTCTTTGAACCTTCTCCGCCGTCCGCACCCGCAAGGTACAAGTTATAGCCCAGAGCTCTCAAATACACTGCTATTCCATACTGACCCCATTGATCCGCGTCATGCCTGCTGTCTGTCCATGTACCTCCCAGCTCGTACTGGAATAAGGGAAAGATGTGTCTGTTTCTTTCCAGTTTCATACCACGGATTACGTTCGGCTCCTTGCCCTCAACATCAATGAGGACGTAGCTGACCGGATCAAAAATACCCTGCTCAGTCACAAAGTCAGCAAGTGGTATGGTTTCAACCGTGCCATTCAGCTGTGGGGCTGTTTTCCACTTTCCTGCAGGAGCAAAAAGGCCGGCTAGCTCAGACTCTCCGGCGGGCACAGTAATTCGAAAAGTCTGCACCTTGTCCGACCAGCCCTTCCTGTGCACAGTGACCAAGGACGAATCCTTGAAGCGCTTCTGCTGAATCTCGAACCTTGGCTGTTGCTGGACGCCTGCGACAGCTTTGCATTCTGCATAATGGGTTCTTGATACTAGAGCAGGCCACTGCACAACAAATGCTGCTAGGAAGGCCGGGCAACAGCTTCAAAACAATTTCGAAAATGTGCATTCTGGCTTTGGGGCACGCACTGAGGACGTTGCCAGTAGACTGGCCTGGTTGGGGTGGTCTTTGGACATTAAAGGCAAACCAATCGAAGCTGGAATTCCCACACATGCCGGATACATCAAGGGCTAAGTAAAAATCAGGACCACTACGTCTCAAGAGTGTACCTCAAGGAGATGCAGATTCAAAGCAGCTCCCATCAATTTTCCAACCTCTCGCATCAGGGTAATTGATATCAAGTCGAGCTATGCGTCTTGTCACAACATCTGCGTGAGGCGAATGCAAAATGAAGTTGCTCTTTCTTGCAGCATCTAGAAACCGCAAGGACAAACAAACGTCCAAGCTGTTTGAAGGTCTTCCAGTAATCCTACGTACCTGCTGCTTAGTAAGTAAAACCAACAAAACTGTAGGCAGTTGGGGTTACAGGTCGTTACTTCAATTTACCGTGAGTGTCACTATCACTCGCCCTAAACACTCAACCCTAAATGCGGGCAATGCTTTGTGCCGTTCAAAACGCAGCTGGTCCCCTGGATGCCTAAAGATAAAGCGCGATGCGAACCTTTGAAGGGATCTACTTACTGGGGTTAGTAGAGAATACGGGAATACGTTATACAGGGCTTTATTCCCTTCTTCCAAACTAACCACCAGTAAGTCTACAATGACGACTATGGAATCCCTATCTGACCGGATGCAACCCCTAGCAACGCCCCCTAGGACCCCTACATACTGTTCATACGCCCCAAACGCATGTATGCATGTTCTAAACTCGGCCTTTGTTTGCTCCGGCGAGAAGCACCAGCGCGTTGTTCGATGCTGATCCAGTACAGCGGCCCTGCTGGGCATACCAGTCCATAATCCTGGGGCTATGTCAAAAGACTACTGTGGGGTTTGCGTAGCTGCCCCAGAACAGGACTACCCAAGGATGAATCACCAGGGCCCTAAACCCTAAACCCTACACCCTCAACCCCTAAACCTTCAGTACTGCCCCCCTTCAGTAACAGTTGGATAATAATTGTAATATGATATAGCCCTTAATTGGACCCTTAATATAGACTGTTTCTGGGAGGGGGCAGTACCCAACCTAAACCCATAAAACCCTAAACCCAAAGGGTTGCAGGCGCACATCCCCTAAAGGAGATACTGAATCCGGCAGGAGGAAGGCTAGAAAGTTCCAACAGGATTCGGAAGGAATGAAGGAATTGATCCTTATAGTGGTCCCTATATAACCTATTATGGTAGTTTCCATGTTCTTTCCATTCCTTCATTCCCACCCTAAACCCGAAATCCTACGGTAGTTTCCGTTTTCTTTTCCATTCCTTCATTCCCAGCTAACCAAAGGCCAGTAGACCCTAAACCGCATGCTATGAGGATGATGATGCTTTCGCTCTACTTGCACAAGCAAAAATTTAGTGTTTAGGGTTTAAGGAGCAGGATCCTGGCAACACGTGGGTGCAGACAAAAAGGGCATCCCCTATCTGTTGCTGACAAAAGCAGCTGTGTGGATGCAATTAGTGTTGCAGGGTTTGGGGCAAAAACTGGTAGCGAGGGCGTACGAATACTACTACGACGACTATTGGTATGACTCTTGTATATCCTATTCTAATGTAGTAGTTTCCATTTCATGTTCCATTTGATTCTCCGTTATCCCTATATTACCCCAACATATACCCTATAATCCCTACATAAGCCCTATATAACCC